CTGCTGGGGGGAGAAATTGCCAGCACTGGAATTTGTGCTTGCACAGTATGGCACTGATTGTTATCGTGGTGCATATGTCAGCCACGGTTGGGAAGTCGTCACCGCGGCGTGCCGGGAAGCGCTCAGCGAGGGACCTCTCCCTGTGCCTGCACCCCGTGGGGAGCACGGCCCGAATCATGCCTGGTCCCACAGGGTGTGAATCCCTCACCAGTCAGCTGAGAGCTGGGCCTGCCTCGGGAAGCTGCAGTGGTGCCTTCATAGAATCAGAGTCAGCCAGGTTGGAAGAGACCTCAAAGATCATCGAGTCCAACCCTACCGTGGTCACTAGACCATGGCACTAAGTGCCACATCCAGTCTCAGCTTGAAAACCTCCAGGGATGGTGAAACCTCCAGGGATGGTGGTTTCAGCCTGGAGGTCCCACTTTGCTCCCTGAAGCACTGGCTGGGATGGGGTGAGCATTGTGGGGTGGTGGGACAGGGCCTCCCTTCCATATTCTTCTGGAATCTTTGCCCAGGGAGATGATGGAGTCACCATCCCTGGAAGTGTTTTAGAGGCATCGGGATCTGATGCTGGAAGATGTGGTTTAGGGGTTTGGTGACAGGTTAATGGTTGGACTTGATGATCTTTGAGGTCTCCTCCAACCTTGCTGGTTCTCTGTACCTCTGCTGGGCTTTGCAGGGCACTCAGCCTGTTCATTCCAGCCATGGGCTGTGCCGGGTCTGATCAGCTCCTGCTGCCCTGTGGAAAAGAGGAGTTGAAAATTCCGAAGAGGAAAGTGGGAGGAATGACTAGAAAATACTGTGTTCCTGTGCCGGGCTAGATCACTTGCATTAAATTCAGAGCCTTTTTGAGCACAATTAATAGTCATTTTATTTAGGTCACCCTGGTTTTGTTGCTTTAAATGTATGCCTCCATTAAAGTGGAAGAAAATCAAATACATTTATCTCCGTGGAGCCTTTTGTGAACTGGTTGGGCATATTTTAAATAACCCTGGGAACTGTTAGGATTATTAAAGCCTTTGGCTCCTCCAGGTTTTTTTTCTTTCCTCCTATTCTCCCCTATTCCTCCTTCCAGGCAGTGAGTAATGAAGTGGTAGAGCCCTTCCTTTTCTCAGAGCCCCAAGTGGATTGGGAAAAAAAAAAAGAAGTTAAATAAACTGAAGCCCATTAGTTAGGCTTTATGTAAGAAACTGGGTCTGCATTGGCTGTGTGTATGGGCTGTGCTGGGACAGGGGAGGCTGTGGGGCTTAAGTGTCCATTTGTAGCCAGTGTTCACTGACAAGGCTTTGTTTTCTCCTCCTTTTGATTTACCCTGAGTGCTAAGACTGTTCATTTGGTAACACACTCTCACCGATGCCCAGAATTAGTCCAGATTAATCAGCTCCTTTAAGCCTCGGTGTTGAGCCATGCTGCATTTACAAGGAATTGAGGGTTTGGGTTCCAGCTGGTCTCTGAGTGCGCTGGGTGGAGGTAGCTAAGCCTCCCACTCCTGTCCTGGGAGATCCAGGGCTGTGCTGGGGCTTATCAGCCCAGAGATCGGGCTGACCCAGGGTCCAGCGTGCGGTGGGCGACGGCCAAGCCTTGCAGGTGGCACTTCTGTCTTCCAGTCCTGCTTCTAACCCTGGAAAAAACTTCCTTGTCTTTTGTATGCGAGGTGTGAGCTGCACGTTTTGAGATGAGGATCTGGAAAACTTGCAGCTGGGCATCTCTGGGCGAGCAAGGGAGTGTCGGGCTGGGGGAGAGGGTTAGCTTGGCCGGTCACAGCTCCTGAGTGCACTTCAGTTTCTCTGGGGGTTGGTTTTTTTCCCCTTCCCCTGAAATAGGGATCAGTTTGCTTACTACAGGGTTTACTGCCGGTTACCTTGACTGTGTCCCTTATTTCTCCTCGCTGAAAACTTGAACAAGTCGCTTGTGTTTGCCTCGCGGAGAACCGTGAGAAACGGGCTCTGTGTGTGAGCAGTGTGGTTTGCTCATTCTATTCAGCCCTTTGTATATTCAAATTCTTGCAGTTTCAGTTCTTGCTGTTCTGCCAGATTTCCATACCATTGATGGGTTTTCTGCATTAATAAGTTGCTCTCCCCCCTCCCTCCCATACCCTCGCCACCTTTTTGCAACTGGTGAAAAGTTTTTCTGAGCGCTCTGCCCTCTCCATATTGATTTTCCTCTCCTGCTTGTCTCACCAGCTCTTAGATGTTTTATTTTGCGAAGCGTTAATAGAATTTTCCTTTTGCCGCTGCACTTTATCTATTCAGGAGGCTTCAAGAAGTCTCATTGTGTCACTGGACTATGGAGGAAAGAGGCTATTCTTCTGCTACAATGACTGCCCTAAAAAATAACGCAGGGTGGGGTAAGCTCAGAAAGGGCAGAGACGGAGATAAAGTGTTCTGACCTTAGGAAAGAGAAAAGATAACCAATTAGACATTGTTGAAAGGGCACCAGCTGGCTCAAAGAACACCCCACTGATTATTTTTTTTCAAGGCATGCTCGGGCCATGTCTGAACTCGGCTGCAGAGCCATTCCCCTGTGCAGGTTTCGTATGTGTACTGGCAGGGCTGACCCTTTTGCAGGGAGCTGGTGCCTGGTCCCGGTTCCAGGGCTGAGTGCTGCTGTGGGAGGGCTGAAGCTCCTGCTCCAGGGTGTCTGAGCTCTTCAGGGTCCCAGCCAGCACCTGGAGACCTCCCAGGTTAGCCCATGCAGCCTGCACTTGTTGCTGCTAATAAGGGTTTCTTTGCATAAAAGGGATCTCTGCCAAGACCTTCATTCCAGGGATGCAGGACTTCGGTGCATGTGCTGGTGTCTGCCCAGAGGATGTGTATCCATGGGGAGATGTGTTATGTTGGACAGGTGGGAGAAGGGGATGGAACTGCAGATCCCAGTATGACCAGGAGCTCTGCCCAGAGTCCCTGCAGTGCTTGATCTGGTGCCAGGGCCTGTCCCTCCTCTGCCCTGGCAGCTCTTGGAGGAGCAGGATGAGGCTGTACAGAGGTTCAGACTTGTGATGCTGCTGCTGCCAGCTAAGCGGAGCCCGAGGGGCTGTGAGACCTCAGGCTGAGACATGGCCATGCTGGGGTGTGGGCAGTGTTGTGGCTCGTCTGACATCTCTTCTCCCTCTAACAACCACACAGCAGCTTTTTTGAAATCCCTAGCAATGTCCTCACAGCAGGAGGTGTCACTTAGGCAGGACACCCTGGAGACCCTGGCCAGAGCACAGAGGACCCTGGTGGGTCTGTGCTCCTGGGCATCCAGGAGCTCTGCAGGCTCTGGGATGTGGTTTGAGGCAGAAAAGCTGCACAGGAAGAGTCTCAGGTTAAACCCTTTGCAGCAGCTGTCGAGTGGGGATAGAGGCACAGGGAGCTGCCATGCCTCAGGAAACAGCAGTAGGTGCAACATGTAATTTTTAGTTCCAGTGGGGCCAAGACCTGTGAGAATGAAAAATAAAGATTGCTGAGCAAACGGAGCCCTGGAGCAGAGATAAGCAGCAGTGGCAGGGTGAAGGGCAGCATTGTCCTTATCTGCCTCCTGCTATGCTCGTCCTGGTGGGGAGACAGACAGCAGGACAGACAGCGCCGTGCTTGGTGTGGTCTGGGTGTTTCAGCGTGTCAGCGTCTCTGGGGCTCAGTCAAGATGGGGATCAGCAGACCTGCTGCTCTGCACTTTTTGCAAACCTCTTTGACTGAAAAAGAGCAGGTTAACCAGAGACAGGTTTGCAGATGACTTGTAGGATCTTGTAGGGTTTTGCTGTACCATATGTTTTACTGTCTCCTGGAACGTGTTTCAGTCCTGTAGGGTTTTTACCACCTGCCCAGCCAAGGCTGAGATGGTCATTCTACACAGACATGGTCTGGATGTCTGTGCCCTGCCTGAGGGGATGGTTGGGGGGACAGGTAGACCCTTTGATGGTTCTGTGCAAGGTGAGGAGAGTGTAACATCATTTTAAGTTATTTACCTGAAATAGGTGATTATAGAAAGCCAGAATATAATCACAAGAAGTAAATAAAAATTACTGGTGGGGGAAAAAACGTCAAAAAACCCCAACCAACCAACCAAAATGCCCAAACCCACACCCTCAGGCAAGCACTGCAGTCCTTCAAAGGATAAAACCTTTTCTTGAAAGATCTTCTCCCTTCCTGCAGCACCTTTTACGATTCAGTGTTACAGGGTTTCATCAGCCCAGAGTTTACAACAGGGAATTGCAAGTCTGTAATTCCTTCCCCGAGCTTGCCCAGGATGTGTCTGGTGGCACTTGGGACTCACCTGCCCCCACTCCTGCGGCCTCAGAGACACAGCTCAGAGTGATAGTGCTGGGAAATCAACCCAGCACAACATCCTTCTGCAATAAGTGCAAAATTTTAGGTGTGGCTGCACAGATTAAATGGAGGTGGAATAAATCATGCAAATCCTAATGAAAGTTGAAAGCAATTTGGTTGCACTTCAATACGTTTCATCAGTCATCTCTCTTCTGAAGTGGAAATGCCGAGCCTGATGCGAATTAAACTTTCTCCCTCCTCCCTCTCCCCTCTTTCCTCCAGCTTTTCAAAAGCCCTTTTGAAAACCTCTGAATACCTTTCTTGGCTGACCAGATTTTACCGTGCTCACACCTCTTTTAACCTCCCAATTCTCAGCCAAGGCAGTGACTCTAATTTGGAGAAGTCATGGGCCTGATTTGCATCCCCAGTTCCTCTCTTGGCCCTTCCTTATCTCCCTACAAAAGGGAAATGAGGCATGGCCAGGGATTGATGTGAGGTGGAAGAGCTGCTTAGATATTTGCCTTTTTAGGGCAAACACTTTTAGTGTTTGCTTTTCCACTTTAGGATCAGATGTCAGCCAGGATGGAGGGTGAAAGCAACAGGTTTCCAAAACGAGGAGCTGTGTCTGACCAAACTCAGGGAGACCTGATCCGTGGAGGCTGCTCCTGCCCGTGTGCCCCTCCCTGGTGTGTGTGTGGGTCTCTGAGCCTCCAGCAGTGTGCTAAGCACAAATCTCTCCTCTTTGTCTTGCAGGTAGAGGATGCCATGCTAATGTTCGACAAGACGACCAACAGGCATAGAGGTAAGAGAGTGAGAGCTCAGACCTCAAGTGTCACAGCCTCTGCGTGGGGAGCACAGCCCAAACCAGTCACCCAGTGGCTGAGACCGGGGTGCTGAATCCCTCTGTCCTGCAGGCTGCAGAGGAGGGGCTGGTTGGCATGGAATGCAGGGTGAATGTCAATTGTCTTGCTGGGAATGACTTCTCTCTGGGAGGGCCATGGTCTGGCTCCCTGGAGAGTGCAGGTCCCTTAGAGCTGTGTGTGGAGGCTGCTGGGAAGCAGCAGGTTTGCACTGAGGTGGCTGGCATGGCTCAGGCTGGGCGCAAGGCCAGTTAAGCTGGAATACCTGGAAATGAAGGTGCTAAACCCGTGCTGGGATCTCACTTTGCTGGAGTTCTGCTGCTGAGTGAGGACTGCTCGTCCTCCGGTGGTGGGAGCTCAGAACCAGCAGGATCTCCAGCAGGGGAATTTCCCTCCACATATTTCATAAGAGAGATGAGGTTTCATCATTGCTTGTACAGTTCTGTGAAGACGAGCTGCGGGTTATTTTCACTCTTATGGCCATTCCTTTCAGTGGAAATAAATGACACTGCTCTGTCTCTCCGGGAGCTGTTCACATCTCTGCAGCAGCCACTGTGTTCTGCCAGGAGCAGGGGAATGTGCCTGGGCTCTGCCTGTGGCACCAGAAACTGCTCTGGGGACAGGCTCCAAGACCCTGTTTCCTCCTCTCTGATTGAGATTGATTTTCTGTCCCTCTCTCCCTGCTGTGGTGTGTGTGGAGGCAGCGCCTGGCTCTGCCCCGCGCGACCGCGCCGACGTCAGCGCGCTCCAGCCTCCTCGGGGATCTGGGTTGATACTGTGGTTGTCTCAGCTGCTCCAAGTGGTTTGGGGAGGCTGCCAGAGGGTGGGAAGGAGCCTGTGCCCAGCCAGGATGGAGCCCTAAGAGCAGGAGATGGGGCAGCCCAGGGAGCTCAGCCACTGCCACCTCCCCTTCATCTCCGCTCAGGGTCGCAGGCCTGACCTCCCAGTGCTGTCTGAACCACTCGCTGCTCATATTTGCTGTAACAAGGAGCTCAGTGTGTGCTCCTTGGAGCTGGGTGAGTCAGGCAAGCCTCCAGGAGAGCATTCCCTCCCTCCAGCAGTCCCTCCCAGGCACTGGTTCCCTCCTGAAGTCAGGGATCGTAGCATCCTGGAAAATTCAGCAGCAGGCAAAAGACTTGCTTGGGAAGATAAGCTCTTCTGAGCCAGGAAAGGCTGTGAACAGCCAGTGCTGTCTGTAACAGGGACCAAGTGTTCAAAACTCACAGAGTTTGGAAAGGTCAACCCCTGACAACTTCCTTTTATATCCAGGGAATTTTCCACCCTTCTCTGCACAGCCACCCTTAAACAGGCCATAAATACCCTTCTCCATTCAGGATCTTGGCGTGGTGTTTGTTGCATTTCAAATCTGCCTGATGTGGAGCTTTTGTGCTGGGCACAAGGACCTGTGGGCTGGGGGCAGCTGGGGGTGAGGAGGACCAGGGGGCTCTGCTCCCAGCAAGGAACACACTCAGCAGATTTGGCCTCTGAGACACACAGGGATAGTTTCCATTTGCTGAAATGTCCCAGATCCTGGAGTTTTATTCTCACTTGGCTGTGCCTGCAGTAAGCTCTGTTCCTGCCCACTGAGCTCACTGATGATGTCTTCAACAGCTTGTGCTGCCCTGACCATGCTCTGCTGCCAGGGTGGGCAGGAGACTCTGCAGGGACATTAAACCAGAGCAGTGGTGTGTGAGTCCTTCCTGTGCTTCCTGCAAGCAGGATGCTCATTTCTTCCCTGCTCCTCAAGGTGACCTCTCCCCTGTCCTCTGCCATGGCTCTGCTGCCGTAAGCACTTCCCAAGACGGGAGGGCACCAAGAGGTGTTGGTGTCTGTGCTCTGCTAGTGCTGAGCTCTGCTCTAACAGCCCTGGTTCAGCGTTTCTGTGTTCTTAGAGGAGGCTGGAGCAGTGCACTGTGGTCCCAGTGATCAGGTGTGAGCCTGGGTAATGAGCCCCAGAGGAAGGATTCCTCTTCCAAAAGCATCTTTCCACTGACTTACCTGGAGACAAGGACTTAACTGCTGAAGTTGAGGGCTGCAGGTGTGGGGGACACCTTAGTTGCCATGAAACCTTTTGGGCTTTTTCCCCCACTGTGTGTGTTGAAGACAAGAGGCAACAGGTCATCCATTTTTCCCCCAGGAATTCTGTGAATTTATTTCATTGACTCATTTTCATAGCTTGTTTTTCCGATGTGCTAGCCATGACGTTTTGCTCTGTATTAGCATCCTAGTCTAAGGTCCTGGATGGAATCTAAGAGGGGAGGAACTAAGAGCCCCAAGGGACCAAAAGCAGACTCCAAATGCCATTGGGTGCAGTTGATGTTGCCCACACCTCCCCTTAGGCTTCTCTGGAGTCAGGCTCTGCACCTGGGTCTGTGCCACCCAGGGGCACAGAGTGGGCTGGAGCCCTTCTCCCTGCTCCTGGCAGAGAAGGGAGTTCTCTGGCCCAGGAGGGTCAGCTCTCCTGGGGAGGCTGTATCCCAGGGAACAGCCTCTGCTGGCTGAAGGACAATGCTGCTTATTTGCTGGGTTAGCCAAAGTTCCTGTGAGCGGGTGACCGAGGGCAGTGCAGCTGCCAGAAGGGCAGGAAGGACTCAGCTCCGTGTCTTTGCCTCTGCCAAGTGCGGGTGGAAGGAAGAATCAAGTGTAAAAGGCAGAGTACGAGTCATCTTCATCTTCACACTTGAATTGATCCAGTCTTTTCTGGTGTTTTTTCCCTTCTCTGTAAAGGTAGCTGCTGCTAATCAGGCTAATGAACTGGCTGAGGGCTGTGGTGATGAAGCGAGTTCTGCCGCCTCGGTCGTCGATAAAATCACCCTGGATTTTACAAATTGTGACACTCTGATTGTGTTGGGAGCGTGTTTAAAATGCGGCGGTGTGCGGCAACAGTGTTAATGGCAATTCTCGAAGCCACTTGTGGGTTGCAATCTGTATCTTCAAATTAGCCACGGGGAAGAGAAATGGCAGATAAAATATCCGCTGTGGTTTGCTGTCGTTAGTCTATGCCTGGAATAATCATCGTGGGCAAGGGAAGGGGAAAGGATTAAAATTCACTCCCTACTGCTAGGAGGCAAGATAAATTTCCTTGCAAGCAAATTGAGATTTGTTGACATAATTCTGGCACGTGTGTGTGTTACTCGTACGCGAGGCGTGCGGAAAACTTCCTGCCTTGCGTGGGGCACAGCTCCTCGGTCGTGGACCTGATGATCTTAGAGGTCTTTGGAGCCTCAGTGATTCTGTGGTTGTATAACCTGAGTAAGCCATCAGGCCAGTCGTGCTGTGCCTCTGCTGGTGTTGTCTTCTTTGTTAATGTCCAACTATTCCTGGATGTTCTCTAAGGAAAATAAGACTCAGCTATTGCGTTTCATGCCGATGTGTTTAGCCATGTTACAGACAGGCTGCAAAATCTGGGAGTATTTCATTGGAGGAGTATTGTGGGCACAACAGTCCCTGGCAGCATTGGGATGTCTCCTCCAGGGGTTCTCTAGCTTGGCCTGTGGGCACACAAAGAACCAGCACTTGGAAGGTAATTATCCCTGGGTCAGCTCAGTTAGGTGCACTTTCTTTTTGGGAAGAAAGTCTTGGTGATCCTCTGTTTCTCTCCCCTGTACTGTACTCTTGCACTTCTCTAAAAACCACACACAAAAGTTCTCCAGACACTCTAGCAGATCACTTTCATCACTTTCTTCACTGCCTAAAATTTCATAGAGCTGAAAATTACTGGGTCAGTCTTGAAAGGATTCAGTAATTGGAAAGAAAAAAAAAAAGAGGGTGGTGTTATTTTGTTACCCTTGCAAAGTGCAGATAAAATCTGGAGTTCAGCATTAGTTATTGATCTTTGGGGGTGGAGGGAGCCTGGCAGGATGATGATGTCCTTCTAACTTCATTATGGAGAGGAGCTCCAGGAAGCATCTCAATGTGCTGCGGAGCTGGACGGGTGGGGGCTGTGCCCTTGGGCTTGGTGCCTGGCGATGCCCGCAGCCAGCCCCAGAGACTGCATTTTGTTCCCAGCAGAGCTGAGAAGAAACCCCATGCAGGGCAGGCTGCTCAGGAGGGAGGGAGGGCTGGATCAGTGTGTGAGCTGAGAGGTGCAGGAGTGGGCTCAGCCCTTCCAGGCTGTGTTTTGTGGGAAGGAGAATGGAGTGGAGTATTGCCTGATAAATCTGTTTGGCAGCTCCCCTTCCTTCCTGCAAGTGTTAAGCATAGAATCACAGACTGGATTGGGTTGGACCTTAAAGCTCATCTCATTCCACTCCCTGCCATGGGCAGGGACATCTCCCACCAGCCCAGGCTGCTCCATGCCCTGTCCAACCTGGCCTGGAACACTCTCAGGGATGGAGCAGCCAAAGCTGCCCTGGGCAACCAGGGCTGGTCAGGGAAGAATTTTTTCGAAATATCCCGTCTAACCCTGCCCTGACAGTGGGAAGCAATTCCCCATTGTCCTGCCCCTCCAGGTCCTGCTCTCTCAAGCTGTTTTCATAGGAGAAGTGGTTTGATGTTGCCTTGGGATGCTCAGCCCTGTGTGCGCTCTGCCAGCATGTGCTTGTTTCGTGCGTGCCTGCAGCTCTCAGCCCCCCCAGAGGCTGTCCAGGACCTGCATCACGACTGCCCCACGTCTTGGACTTGCAAAAAGCCCAAGATTTGGAGTGATTGAGTCCCCTGAGCTGTAATTGTGGGTATTGAATGTAATACTATATGTTTGCCAAAGCTGTCCAGCCCCCAGAGTTATTTTCACATCAATTAAACCCTCGTGCACAGCTAGGGATGGCAGGGGAGAGAGGAGGGAAGTGACAGCATGTGATTTGGACTCCTTTAATCTCACAACTAAACAAAATTAGGGAGAGGCAGGCAGGCTGTGGGGTACAGAGCATCCTACGGCTCGAGCAGGGCACCAGGAGCCTGCTGGCACCCTCGTGTGGCACCAGAGACACGTGGAGCCTGGAGT